AAAGTTTATGTTTTAAGAAATTTGCTTCTTCCAGTCCGTTTCCTAATTTTCCTCCGTGAAGCGTTGTAAAAAAACAAATATCCGAAGAACTTCATCCGACGGTTAGCGAGGACAAGGTCCAGCAGCGAAGAAGATAGACCTGGAAGCAGTAATCCCAAACATTTCTGTCCGCGTTATGTCGAGTCAGTAGAGAGAAAGCTGAACTCCGGGAATATTCGAGTTGAATTGAGTTAAGGTGGAAAAACTAACTTCATACTCTACACAACCGAAGATCCGATTTCTGTCCAAAACCGAGCAGTCGTAATCGCAATCAACGTTTTTCAATCTACTGCTAGGTAAAGGTTTCTAGATCTTTCGATAAACTTGTTTTCTGTTTGATCCAGCGAATGGTTAGACCGTATTATATGTACAAATGTATTTTTATTTTGCAGAAGATTATACGGGACTCCGATTACAAAAATCATATCTACTATCACAAGCGAGCGCAGTATTTATGCGTTCTTGCCGCTAGTTTGCTTTCTGCGAATATCGTCGAGAACATTGAATTTGGACTGCTGCATGGCGACAGGCTGAAGCCAGTGCTCCTGCTCACACCTCAAGGTTAGTATTAAAACGAAGTGCCTTAAGTTTCGAGACTCAGAACAGAGACCATTGACAATGAACGAACATCCCTTCAGGAAAACTGTGCAGACGATGTCGAATTAGGGTAATCGCGCATGCTCCGTCTGACACGTTCAAGCGTGCCGCTCTTTTACCTTCTTGTTCCAATGTTAAACCAGACTGGTACTTTGGCAAAACTGTCCAAGGTACGATGACTTACTTATAGCTTTGCCAAATTACTGTTATAAGGCTTTAGGTGACTTCGATTCGACGCCCCATTACAACCAGAGCGTTCTGTTCGACCTGCTGCTGCCTGAACTGACGCGGCACGTAGAGCAGCGGTGGCAGGGTTGCGATGGAGTCAAGGAGGGTGCGTTGCTCGTGTCTACTTGGCTGAGGCATCGCGGGTTGGACATTGGCTTCGGATGTGCCACTGACACGTTTGTGCAGGCGCTGCTGTGCTTCTTACTCGAATCGAGACGAGTTAACGTCCACATGAGTAGTTACCAGTTTTTTCGCTCTTTTGTCTCGTTTATCGGTGAGCCTCTTTCTTTCCTCTTCCTTGAAGATTGTAGCAAGGCGTTTCATAACAATTTCAGCGTCTGATGGTCTGCGCTTGCCGGAACTACGCTTGAAGCCGCTTGATCAAGATGCCGTCGTCGATGACCAGGAAAACGAACTCTACAAAGACTTCCACAAACATTTCGATGTGGTCTTTCGCGATTCGACGGGCTTCTTGAACATATGTCTTCAGTGGAATTCGGCTCTAGTTGACTGGGTAACTTTGTATTACCTTTGCTACTCAATAGAAAAATAATCCTTTCATAGACCAACGCTGAGCTTTTTCTTCATCCCAGGTTGTTTTCATTCTTCAGTTCTTTGTGTAGGAGTTAACGTGCTTTATAACTTCTAACACTCATTTATCCGGAGTCACGCGCGTAGTTGTGGCTTTGCCTTGCTTCGAGTATCCCAGAAGACCGTTTGAGCAGTCCATGGCTGCATGGTATTTTGGTACCTGCAGTGCTTTGGCCGTTAAACTGCACCAGTTTGTTGGGTCGCACAGAGGCATGTTCGAAAACAAAAGGGACGTCCCTGGATTCGTAGTCATATATAGTAACAGTTAACTCACAGTATTATGAGGTTATAGGAAACTACCAGCCTTCGATACCGCCGGTAAACATCTTTCGGATTTTCACCACGCGCCGTCCCATTGCCTCTAGTAGCTCAGGAGCTGTTTAAGCAATCTACATCTCCATGGTACTTTACAGCTC